TTTTTTTTTTTTTTTTTGTTTTTACAATTTATAAAAAGCTTTTACCCAACCGAAGTGCGCGCTCCATTAAACTTCTGTTCCGTCGTGCAAATTGCTGTGGACTTTGACTTCCAAGTTCACCTGCTTCACCTTCCTGCCTCTGCCCTCGCAGCTGCCCCCGGTTTCCCTCAAGACATTGATATTCCTCACGGTGCAGTACCGGCCGTCCAGCGCCTTCTCCGTACCCCTGGGCAGCTCCACCTTGGTGTTCAGGGGATGCTCCTCGGGGGCGGCTCTGGCAGCCTCTCGTTTCCTCCGCAGCTTCCGACATTTCCTGGTGAGGAGACAAACTCCGGAAAGCACCAGCAGCAGCAGGGTGACGGCAGCGAAGGCGCTCCCCAGCGAAGCGCCCGTTTGAGATAAAGAGGCCGCGACGGCGGCTTCCTCCCTCTCCAAGATCAGCGACTTCATATTGGTGCCGTTCTTGATCTGGTCGCCTTCGTTGTCGTAGATTAAGGAGTCGTCCAGCGTCAGCCTCCCGTCGCTATCGACCAAGTCCCTGCGGCCGCGTTTCCAGCGGCGAGCGAGGGAGCGCTGGACGCGAGGTCCTGCCATGCTCTCTGGGCCAATTACGTAGATGACCTGCAGGTACCACTGGTGTCCGGCTTCCACCTTGAACAAAGGGAATACGCACGGACAGAGGAAATTTTAACTACGGCTTTGAGATCGAGTGATTTTGTTAAGTAAAGGTGGAGCTGATTGCATTTCTTGTCCCGTTTCTTGATTCGTGTAAATGTCAACAAAGCAGCTCAGTGTGTTTTTAGGAGCACCTGCGATAGCGTTTATCGCCAAGCGAGGCATTCGGCCTTGCTGTCCGTCTTCGGCAATTACAATAATTAATGCAGGAACATTAATAATACGTTTTTAAAGAGCTTCTTTCCTGAGTGCTTTGGAAAAAAACTTCTTAATCACCAGAATAAATTCCTCATCTCCCATTTTCTGTGCAGGACTTTGCTTCTTAATTGGCTTCACCGTCAATTTACGGTACAATCCTAGCCCTGCCAAGAAGCCCCCGAAGCAGACAGAGAGGTCACTGGCTTACAAGAGGGGCTCTGGGGAGGGACACAAAAGCCCAGAACTGGGATATAAAACTCTGCCCTTACTCAGAGCTTCCCCTGCATCCCTCCTGTTTCCTCCGAGCCTCCGCACGCAGAGAGGAACCGCAACCAGAGGTCGTCTGCCCCAGAGGGTTGCCAGTGAACTGCAGAAGGCTGCAAGACCAACCCTAGCAGGAATTTAGTTTCTCTAGGCAGTGTCAGGTCCAGAGCCCGCATTTCACAAAGCCTCTGGGACGCCCTGGACAAGGGAAGGGAGTTTTGGGCTACCGGTATCGCTCGGGACGTACCTTGTAGAGAGCATCCACCTTGAGAGTAAATCCATCGACTCCGGGCATGCTGCTTACCGAGTGAAACTCGGACAGCTCGGAGGCAAAGTGGGCATCAAAAGGCACGTCGTGGAAATACTTATCCGTCACTTCTGGTTGGTTCCGGTCCTGGAAAAGCAGAGAGGGGTGATCTGGAGCCACGCCGTCCTGGTTTAGCACTGACCGTGTCAATATTAGGTACGCAGAGTTTAACCAGCCCGCTCAAACTAACTCCGTTGACGTCACTCTCGTTCCGCGAGCGGTAACGAGGCTGCCAGCGAGGACGCTGGCAAACGCTAATTACAAAGCACGTGGCAAGGGCTGAACGGGTCTTGGGAGCTAAGCGTAGATTTATACAATGAAGGAGAATTTCTGTATAATTGGTGAATAAATCTCCCTTTGTGTGACACCAGTCCTGTCAATTCCAAGCTACCCTAAGAGCGGAGATCAAGGGAAATTTTAAGAGCTTGGTACACAGCGGCTTTTCCTTCCTAATTTGTCATTGGTTTGGGTTTTGGTTTTTTTTTTTTACACCAAGAAATACTCATGGATAAAGACCGAGAAAAAACTGATCTTGTCATCATGGTTTGCGCCTGTCTGCCCAGTGATGCAAAAAAAATCCACGCTCTCCGGACACGATCACGCACAGCGCTGGACACGGCGATTTTGTCCGCAGCCGAACACTTACCAAGAGGAGAAATCGGTGTTTCAGGTGCTTGTTGGGTTGAATACAGCCGTACTGGGGCCCCTCGTTATAGACGGTGCCCGTTGGGTCGAAGAAAGGCACGTAGCCGTCCTTGCCCGTACACAGATAGACTTTTTCCAACTGCAGTTTGTAAGCGGCATTTAGGTTTTGTTCGGGGTTCCAGAGCACACGGCCGTACAGGATTTGCCCTGAGGAGGTTGGGAGAAAACCGGTCGGGTTAAATTCTCCAATTTAAGAGGAGAACCGCTGTTGGAGCCAAATGCACCGAACTACTCGTGGCTCGGGGTTTCGAAGGGTTTTGATTTGCGCGGGTGACAGAATACCGTGCCCGAGCGCATTCCTGTCTTGTCATGCTGTTACGGGGCTGTAACGTGCTCAAAATGCCGTTTGCTGCCGTGAAAGAGGCAAAGCCAAATCTGGGTTTCACCCTTCCCTTTCAGGGGAATGGAAGTTGTGAAGACAGAAACCCTCAGGTACGAGCAGAATAGGAAAGAAAACGAAAATAAATCCTACCCTTCGAAAAAGCCCCTTTGTAATCCATTTCTGCCAGAGACATTTCGGATTTGGTGGGGTCCATCAGAAACACCTTCTCGTTGTTACAGAGCTGAAACTCCGTGTTTAGGGAGTAGACGACGGGAACCGGGCGGTTTGTCTGCTGGAAGGCAATCGGGATCAAAAATCTAAAATTGGAGCAGGAAAGGAAAAAAAAGGAGAGGTTTAGTTTGGACACATCTTAGTTACACGGTGATGACCTACACGGTCTGCTTCCCCTTTCTTCCCTCCTGCTTTACAATTCACAGTCCGGCAGCCCGCGCTCCGGTGGGCTTCGGCCCCGACGGCTTGTCGCCCCTCAGCCTGCCCGTTTCACAGCGATGGCGCGGGGCTCTGCTCAAGGCTCCTCCCGACAGCTTTGATTTTCTTTCTGTCTGGGGACAGCCCAAGGCTGCGCGGGCTTCTGCGGCCCCGAGGCCGAAAACTGCTGGGAGACGGACGGCAGCGCAGGACAGCCCCTGTTCTGGGAGTCCATAGTCTCACTCCACAGCAAATTTTTTTTAAGAAAGTGGGTTTTTTTTTTTTTTTGAAGAAAGCAAAGACACCTGCCTGGTGCTGAGCAGTAACAGACCCTGTTGCGCTACAGACCGTCTGCAGCACCCAGATCTTTCGCTGCCCTTAGCGGGGACGCTCTCGGTCGCAGGGGGAACCCTGACCCAAAGAGGAGGTTCCTCCGCTCCCCTTTTCCCTTCCGGCCGGGACCGCGCAAACAGCCCAAACGGGCTGAAACCGTCCAGCCGCCGCCGCGATGACGGGGACTCCTTACCGCTCGGGAGCGTGAGCCGTGCAGGGCAGGGGCTTGTCTCCAGGCTCCATCCACGGCTGCGTGGGCTGCACAGTACAGGGGACTAGGAAGATGGTGTACTCTCCAGAGTAATCCTTCCTGGGAACAGACAGGAGACACGGCGGTCACCAAACGAGACCCCGAGCTGTTCACCCAGCTGACGCGTTTGCCTGACATCCACCATTTTCTAATTAGCGTAAGCAGGGAAGACAAAATTCGTAGCAGGGCCTCTCCCTCGACCCCAGAAATGTCCGGCTGCTCCAGCGGTCGCGGGAGGGACAAACCGGACCTGCGGTGTTGGATTTGACCCTCTGTGCAAGGAGCACAGACTGTAAGAATAGAGTCACAGGCAGAAATAATAACAACAAGGAATTTTTTTAAAAAAGGGAACCAATCGTTTCTCCATCTTAACGCACCTACCTCCACCAATTAGCACTAGTGGTGAAGTCAGTCGTGGAAACGAAATCCTGCTTTTAACTTGCAGGCTGCAAAAACCACCTCCGGTATCTACCTACCCACTGGCTTAATCGCTAGAAAAATGCATTTACAAGGAGATGAACTGATTTCTCCCTCTACTTAACCAGCAGCAGAGCAGCGTTTCCAGCCCCGACAGCGGCTCCCCGCGTGCTTCAGCTCTGAGCCCTTGAATGCGGCCGGCTCCCGACCGCGCTGCGCCTGCCGAAAGGGCAACAGGGATTGCTCTCCCCGGCCCGGATTTCAAACTGCTCTGCCGGTGCTGCCGCCTACGTGCACGTTCGTTGCTTAAAAAGAACTTTGTGCTGCGGGAAGGTGCTGAAGGTGGCCGTAACCCGCAGCCCTCACCTGTTATAGGAGCTGGTCGCTCTCCAGAGCTGGTAGGGAGAGTCGAAAGTCTGAGCGCTCCACAGCAGCTGCAGGTCAAATTCGATCCCTCCCAGGTGGTCCGGAGTCATTAAGAAGGACTTGACGTCCGGCAGGCTGTGGTGCTCCATCACGAAAAGCCCTGGGGTGAGGAGAAGGGGGTGACGGGTAAGGCAGAGTTCGGGGAGACCCCCCACGCTGCACACCTCGGCGCAGAGGGTCTCCTCCCGGCAAGGGGGCTTGTTCTGCTACCTGCGTTTTCCCAACGGATCCGTGTTTGTACGTCGGTTTCTTCCTCTATCAGGACTAACGCGCTCACCTCTGAACTTGGCCTGCGTCTTGAACTCGATAACCAGCCGGCCGTCCTCGCGGATGTAGATCCTGATTATCTGCAGCCGGGCCGAGAGAACGCTGTCGGTCTGAATCCCTGCACGGGGCGGCAAGAACGTCGTCACTGGGGAAGCCGCCTGGCACGGTCAGTCCTCGGGTGGGCTCTGCCAGCCCCACGTAGCTCCGAAAGCGTCTGAGAGAGCTCCAAAAAGGCACGCTTTAAACGGGATCGCCCTCCAGCGAGTCAGCCGCACGCTTCCGCCGTTACCCGTATGCGCCGCCTCACTCACTCAGGCATAAAGGACGTAAATATACTCAGTTCCCCGCTATGATTAGTCTGTGAACGTAACTCATTTTGCATAATAAATGGTAGGTAATTGTTTCTGCGTGCTCCTGGCCTTAATTCCTGAGTGGCCCTCCACGAAGAGGGCTCTGCGATCCCCTCCTCCGCAACACTCAGCGTCGCCGCTGGCAGAATAAAACCCAAGGCGAGGCACCGCGGGTTCCGAGCGGCAATTAGCGCTCGAGGCTGGAGGCACGCAGCACACGCGGGCTCCGAATTTTGGGGGGAAGGCAAACGAACAGGCTGGAAACGGAGGACTCGAAGGGCGCGGGATAAACCACACACAGACGCACGGGGGTTTGGTCTTGGGTGTAAGGACCAGCAGAGGAACGATTTAAGGCTCGCCGCCGGAGCACCGCGGTTTTAATGAACACGGGGATAATATGGGGAAAAGTCCATCCGTGAGAGCAGGGGGCTGAGGAACGCGACTGCAGCTCCCAGGCGGGAATCACTGAAAAGCGACGGAGAAATCACTCCAAATATTCCCCCGCCGGGGAGCGACCTCTGCCTGGCCGGGGAGGCTCTGATGAAGAGCTGGCTCCTTCCCTGCAGCGCTTGCCGGGGCTCGGTGAGAACTGCTCCCACCGACAGCGAGAAGCTGGGAGGGGGGAAACAACAGCCCCCTCGCTAAGCTTACGCAAAGGCAGTGCTACCCACGCTCGGAACCGTGGCGGCAGTGCAGAAACGAAGAAAAAGGGGGGAAAAAAAAACCCCAAACCCAACCCCAAGAACAAAGCAATTCTCCCGTAGCCCTTCGAATGCCTGGGACCTACCCGTCCTCCAGAGAACGGTATCGTAGAAAAAAGAGAACTCCATCTCCGTGTGATGCTCGAGAGAAGCCCAACCTCTCGGCGCCGTCACGTAAATGTAGGACACGTAGAGCGGGACGTGGACTGTTAAGAAGGACTGAGCAGAGTCCCGTACCTGTCAATAAAACCCCCCCCAAAAAAAAGGTGGTTACGCACCTTCCGAAGGAGAGACACTGGCCCAGACGCACGGCGCACGCTGCATTCGCATTCTGCTCTGCAAATGGGGAAAAAAGCCAGAGCACCTGCAACGGACGATGCCTTTTTAGTTCCGGACCGTGGATGTCCTGAGCACAGCGGGGATAACGTGGGCATGAAGTATTTCTAAAGCTACGTATCGTCGTTGCTCCCTCAAGACTGAGCGTTACTGCCAAGCAATTAGCCGGCTTGCAAAAAACTTATTGCTGGACCGTCATTTGAAATAATAATGAACTGCTGGGAAAAAGGGATGCAACCACAGAGCGCTCCTCACATCCTACAGAACTCCTACACTTAAGTCAGAGACGACTGCCTGAGCCTTCTTTACCTTTTTACGCAGGAACTTTAGACAAACCTGCATTTTAAATAAGGGTAAGTGCCGAAGCACACCGGCGTCGTGGTACAAAAGGACCTGCGGTCACAACTTCACCCCCAAACCCTCCCTGTTTCCAATTCCGTGAAATAAAAATAAGCATCTCCGCTTGCTCGGGACTGGCCCCGAGAGTCTCCGGAACACCTCTGCGGCTCCATACACACCATTTATCCTCCGCAGAGCGCAGCCGGACCCTGCGAACCCCTGGGAGAGCTCGGAGGGACAATCCAGACTGGCTGGTGCCGCTCTCCACGTCCCCAATTCTGCAGCTGTTGAGGCCGAGTGGCTCCTCTGGATTTGTGCAAATAATCGGAGCTACGAAAAGGAAAGTTAACGAAGCGTTCCAGACCGGCAGGAACAAAAAGAGGTGCTGTCGGCCGTAACGTTCTGATCGGGAATTCAACACAAGAACCTAACGAAGACGAGCTACTCGCTCGAGTGGGATGTCGCCGTATGATCCGTCCATGAGAGGGCAGCGAGGCACGTCTGGTAGCGAAAGGCACTATTTTACAGAAGAACGTTTCTGGCTTTTGGTCTGCCGGTGGGTTAAAAGAAGTTGCTTAAAAATTCCCATGACCTCGCTCCGCTGCGGAGCACGAACTGACGTGTCCCTGCTCTGTTCTTTGCTCCTTCAGCCAAAATTGTAAAAGAACAGAGCGGAGCTGAGAACGTTTTGTGCTCCCAGTGCATCCTTGTATTTAAAACAAGTATTTTACTGGCGCCCTGAAGATTAAGAGAATAAAACCTACGTTACCCCAACGAAAAGAAATGAATTCAGCACATTTCGCAAAGCACCAGTCTTTTCTAGGTAAAAGCGGGGGGAAGAGCCACGCTCCAGTTGCACGGAGCAGCAACATACGCGAACAGAGAGCGGAGCTTGGCCTCGGAACCGAAGAAAGGTCTGGATTATGCGGGAGGGTTTCGGATGCGGCATCTCACCTGGAAGTCAGCGGTGACGGAGCCTCCGCAGACGTCGATTAACTCAGTCATGTCGTAGTAAGCGTCAAAAGTCCAAATGCAGCTCTTGAGGTTGAGGTGCTTATAGAGCTGGATCGTCTTCGGCTCCCTCACCGCGGGGTCAAACTGGTAAGGGCGGTCGTAGCCAGGACCGAGGACGATGCTGTCGTAGGTGACCTCATCCAGAAAGCCTGCCTCTGCGGTTAGGAGACACCAGGACACTGATCACGCCAGGTTTTAACGAGCTCGAGGTCAAGCACTGAGGTGCCATTTTCACTCTCAAATCACGTCAGTGACTTTTATTCTATCCGGGACTTGACGGGCTCCTCTCCCTTCGTCCTCCCGGAGGTCAAACTGAACACACGCAGCTCTTCGCAGGGGAAAACGCTAGAGGAACGGGGTAAGGATCCTAAACCCCAAACTTACCAACACATTAATTAAAGGCTGAAGTTAAAGTTTAAGAAACGCAGAACAGCTTGAGCACGAAACGAACGGACCGAAGTACAACCAGCCCCTGCCCACCGGGGAACGCGACCCGGAGCGTCGGAGACGCAAACCGCCTTTTCCCTTCTGCTCTGGCAGTTACTGCAGCAGTGAATTTGTTTTTGCTGCTGCTTGTCGCCACACGGGAGACCTCAGCGACACAGGCAGGGCGATCCGCTTGCTGTGGATCCCTCTCTAACCACGCGGATGTCACGAGACGGATGCGAAAAGCAGAAAATCACCAGCTCGCCGTGAACCTACAACCTCCTCGAACGGAGCAACGCTGCTTAACCCCGTCAGCTTTTAAACGTTCCCATGCATCGCATCGCATCTCCGACGCGGCAACAACTCTGTTCGCCGCTGCCCGTGCAGGAAGATGAATTATTATTGACGTAACGTCGAGAGAGCCCAGAGGAAGACAAAGCCGCCTTCTCTGCATTGCTTTACCGGCTTCTCCCTCCCGCCAAGTTCAGAGAGCAAAGGCTGGCTTTGAGGATTACCTGAGACACCTCTGAGGTCTCTGACGGCGACCAGGTTTGAGCAGACGTGCTGGTGCCTGTAGATAGACTCGGAGAGAAGGAAATGCAGGTTGTGCAGCGGGAGGGTGGAGATGAGGGGCAGCATGCCGTCCTGATGGGGGATCTGCACCGAGATGTGGATTCTGGAACAAACAGCGGGTGAGAGCGGAGGAAAAAGCAGCCCTGGCAGGGACGGCAGCCCCGCACGTTACCCCACAGCGGCGCGGCTCAGACGGGCCGACCTGCTAGCGGCAGCCCGACCTCAAATTTCAGCTAAATTTCCCCGTCTACACATCTGCTCCTTAAGCTGTCCCACCAACTCCGACTTCCTGAGGGGAAGGGACCCCCTCAGCGGAGCAGGGTGTGAGGAAGAGAGCGGGAGCGCTACCCCGAGCACCCCACGCTGCTGAGGAGGACGCGCCGCGCGGAGGGATGTGGCTTCAGACGCACCTTCTCCTCTCTCCTGCCCTGCCCCAGGCTCGTACCTGTTGGGATGCTCCTTGTGCTTGACGTCCAGGTACTTCAGGGTGGCAATGAACGACTGCGCCTG